TGTAAAAAGTGATAGTATAATCTGAACAGGTGGTATTCACTCAGAGGTTCGTGGAGAGCCACGTTCACAGTGACCATCGAAAAAAAGAGCCGCACGACTACTATATGCTCCGTGTGCCTCCCCAACAAACACAATACAATAATATAGTAAGTATGTAACTATAAACTTTTTAATTGCGTGTCTCTCCTCACCACCACTGCTCAATCTTAGCTAGCTCTTGTGTATCTAGAGTGAGGGGAAGGGCTTCTTCCTCTGTGCCTTCTTGCTCTCTCCCCCAGCGTGAGGCACAGCAGCTCAGGTGAGAGAGTGAGACTGGCCAGGCGCCCAAGGAGAGCGAGTTGGTCACGGAGAAATGGCAGTAAAGCCACCGCCAAGTTATTGTGGCCATTTTACCCTTTTCTCAGGTGATTGCCAGAGTGGTGGTGGTGGTGGTGGTGGTTTTTACTATCTTCCGTGCAGCCAGTTTGCTCCCCTCCCAGAATTACCCAGGTGCTGGAATGAGAGCACAGAGATTGCAGAGAAGGGCAGCGGGGGTTGCTAGAAAGGAAGGACTCTACTTCCATCCCTTCCATGGGTCCACATTTCAGGGAGGCTCACTTCTTACCCATCTTCAAGTCCCCCTGGTGGAGTGTACCTCACCACAAAATGGCTGCTGGGGAGGGCAATAACAAAGTGTCTGCTGTGGGCTGCTGGAGCCAATCATGAAATATGGGTAGGCTGCAAGCTCACAAGACAGAAGCAACTGTTTCTGAATGGTTAGTCCCTGCAGACACAAAGGTGATAACATTGTGATTTTTCTGAAGCACCTCCTGCTCCAGGGATGTGGAAGAAAGCCAAGATTGGCACTTTGCTTTGGGTGGGGGCAGGAGATGTGTTTGTTGAAGAAACAAATGGACACCAGGAAACACATTGGCAGGCACCATGGTACCCACAGCCATCACACTGAGGATCATTGCCCAAAATACAGGCAGTACTTGCAGGATTCCTTGGGTAGGATGTCCACAGGGCTACCACAGAAATGGCCTTTCCAGTAGTCCTCACCAAAGATGCCTCCAGAGCCGGGGGTTTGAAGCAAGTGCAGGAGTTTATGCAGGGGAGAGACTGCTTGAAGTCTTGACTGGGTCAGACAAGCTTCGGAAGTTCCCCGGAAGACACTGTTGTTTAAAAATTCCCTTATATAATATGATAGCTGGTATCTTAATATTCAAGAAAAGAACAGCTAGTGGATGAAACTCTGTACTTGGAAACTTGGGTTCAGACATCTACCCACCTTATAAAGTGACTGTCAATCTATCTCTCTGAGCTTGCCCCGTCCCTAGGGGTTTTTTAAGGTTTACATGGGAAAATCCCCAAAATGTTGCTCTGAGCTTCTTGTTAGGAAGAAAAGCATTATAATAAAGTAAGCAAGCATATGAAGTATACAACCTTTGTCTTGCTTCTGCCATTTCCCCCCCTTCCCTCTGCTTCCTTGCTACTTGTAGGGTGTTTGGGGCTGGAAGTATGTTTTTTTTCTTATGCTGTTAAATGCCGTGTACCTTGATAGTAAAGGGGCCACGGTGGCTCAGAGGTTAAGACGCTGAGCTGCAGACTGGAAGGTTGGTAGCTTGACAGTTCAAGACCCGAGTGTGCTGCGTGACGGAGTGAGCTCCCGTCTCCTGCCAACCTAGGAGTTCGAAAGCAAGAAATTGCAAGTAGATAAATAGGTACCACTTCGGTGGGAAGGTAACAGCGTTCCATGCACCTCGGTGTTTAATCATGCTGGCCACAAGGCCACTCTTTGATAATCATTACAGATCTGGGGCTTTTAAAATACCAAAATCAATCTGAAATATTTTTCTTACTCTATAATGCTTGGGTAATACTTACACTTCTTATTTCCTGAGCAGCCAGGGTATAGCATCAGTTCCTGAGTACTATAACTGTATGCTGTCCACAGTTGGATAGATATTTCTAGCCTTGTAACTACCTACAGTGATGCGGTGTTTTCCTAGCATTCAGGGGGAAAATGCCTCCTCAAGATCTCGGGATAATGGAAGTGGGCCATAGTTGTACATACGGTTAACTTGTAGGGTCCGAATACACCATGGGATCACCTCTGGATCTGTTTTCTTTCAGAGGCCTTGGTTAGGTACCTCTCATGTGTCACACTGAATTCTGATGAAGTTAACTGGTCCTTCTGTCCATGGGACCGCAGCATTTTTGCTGTGAAAATGTTTTACATTAATTTAAAAGCCCCATCTCAGCTCACATGTTCATAATGCTTTCCATAAGGCTTTGGTAGGTATATTACGAAATATATTTGTGAGGACTGAAACGGTCTCTTCAGAATTGTTCTTGGCATGTGTGGGATATCAAAGTATTCCAGAGTAATTCAGCATTCACTGAGGTCATTGGGAGTTGTCACACAATGCAGTGTCAGAGGGACAGAATGTGCTTTATGGCTCCTGTCATGACCCTGGCTTGTCCAACTTATATTCTGCACTCACAGAGAATAGAACTCCAGTAGTCAAACAAAAGCCCTTTACGAGGAAGCTCTCAGCCGTAAGTTGTTGTTGAAATCCAACAAATTGGCATGTCCTAATCAAGCTTTTACAAGAGACACTATAACAAGATACGGCTCAGTTGAAAGTCAGGTTACAGTGGCCCTATTCAGGAGCTGAAGCTTTCAAAAAAAGGGCTTACTGTTTTGATGCAAAAGAGAAGTGTGATCTTCACCACAACAAAAAATGAGCCCAGGAATATTCAGTGTCCATTAAAATGCACTCAGGTAGACTTTACCTGTGGTGAGCTAATTTTCAGTACTGTTCCCTATCCATTTCTTGCTTGATTACATGCACACACACACACACACACACACGCAAAACTGAATAGCTTCAACGTTCCTCCAGGCTTTGTAGTAGGTAGCAAGTGATGAAGACCTTGATTAATAGTTGGTTTAGAGCTTAATTTCTTCTAGAGCTTAATTTCTCCTCTGTTCTTCAGGGAATCAAGTCTGCCTAACTAAGAAAATAAATCCATTCTTGACAAGGACAGAAATTTTTATTGCATCAGTCCAACAAATTGAATACAATTGTGCCACTATCAAAGAATCCCCTCAGCAAATAGTCTATTCAGACGCCTTACATAATCATTGCAGGTTTAAGTTTCCACGAGTGTTGAGCTTCACCCTCTGTGATAATCGTCTGATCTGAAAGAAAGCCTTGGGTTTCAAGGTGGAGAATCTCACAATAAACCTATTCAGTGCCGCTCTTTTATTAGTTTGAACAAGTACCTACAGAGTTCTCCTTGCCTTGTGACTCTGTTAAAGGAAACTATTGAAAGGTAGCCCACCTTGCAAACTGAACTGATCCCAGAATTACGAGTGAAGCATTGTTTTCCCTCAGTGAGAGAATGCATAACTTCTAAAACGGTCCCATTTATCTCTGAATTGTAGCAGTTTTATGACTTAAAAACTCAGTAAAATTCCATGACCTTAGTTCTAAACGAGAAATGGCATCCCTTTCCCCTTTATTTTGTGATCAGCCCTGGCTCCTATCTGGTGGACCTCTTTGCTGAATAACATCCGCGCCTTGCGGGACCTGATGCAGTTCCACAGGGCATGCAAGGCAGAGATGTTCCGCCAGGCTTTCGGCTGAGGACAGCGATGGACACCATAAGAACATAAGAACATAAGAGATGCCAATGTTGGATCAGGCCAAGGGCCCATCCAGTCCAACATTCTGTGTCACACAGTGGCCAGAAATACCAGGTGCCCTCAGGAGGTCCACCAGGGGGGACCATCCTGTCTGGCACTCCCTTTCCCTCTTCATCGTACTCCCTCTCCTGCGAGACAGTGACATAATCTTGGAACTGAAGTTTTAGCACCATCAGAGACTGTTTTCGTTATTTATTGAATTGTCAGAATTGTTTTAATGTATGGTTTTACTGTTGTTAACTGCCCTGAGCTCTGTGTACTCAGGGAGGGGTGGTCTATAAATTTAAATTATAAATAAATATAAACGAAATGCCCATTCATTCTGCAAACACACGTATGGATGAATGGGCAGTTTTGTCAAATGACAGTACAGATTTTTAAACTTTTTTGTGTGAGGATAAGATGTTGGGCGGTAGTGGTGAAAAACCATATATGCTGCTATGAATACCTTGGAGAAAGATTGGTGGGGGGGGAGGATAAAAGGGTGATACAAGGTTGGATTCTAAACGTCAATGAACAGAGTTCCTAGAAGCAGATCTTCCCCTTCTCCCAACAGCCCTGTGCACACCCGTGTAAGCTAAGGGTCTGGAGATCTTCCACACTCTGGCCATGCAGCAAAGAGGGTATAAGGAGAGGGGATTGGGCAAAATTCCTAGTTTTTTGTGCCAGCAGAGCACGTTTTGGAGCTGGGCTTGCTCCATGAGCATCTGCCTGGGGAGGGCAGTTTTGCCTGATTCCCCCTCCTCCCTGCAGTTCCGCATACTGCGTGGCATTTTTGTTCAGGAGGGTCCCTCAACTGTCAGCATAAAATCATAGTTAGGTCGTAGTTCTTTTCAGTAGGCTGCCTGCGAATCATACTGGATGTTCCCCCCCCCCTCCAGAAAACAGAAGGAACTCTATTCCTGCATGTGCTTCTTTTTTTTTTTAATGTAGAGTGATGTGTCGTTTCACTGTTACTCAAGGCAGATTACAGGAATCAGAAAGTGAAAAAAGTGTAATCATGCAGTATAGGACATTGAGTGAATAATGCAGTAGGATTCGGGGTACAAAACTGAATTAGAATGGGAGCAACAATGTGAATATATGGTATAAGCGATAGACATCAAATAATGCAAATGAACAGTGCAAGAGAGCTAGGAATAGACAACTGAATGCCAATACCAGTGCAGTAGGACTATGAATACAAAACTGAATGACAACATGAACAGCAAACCATGTGAGATTACAAATGGACAAAGCGATACAGTATCTGTTACCCATACACCTCAGCATAATTCAGCTCTAAATATTTGGTGTTCTATTCCAGGAGTGCACGCCTGAGAACTTAGAACTGAAAAAGAAGATTTTTGGCCAGTTAGATCTCCTCGTCGGTAACAACGTTATTCTAAGTAGCTCGACATCCTGCCTTTTACCTACGAAATTGTTCACTGGACTGAAGCACGTTAAACAGTGTATAGTGGCACATCCTGTAAGTACTGCAAAATCTGTGGATAGTCTGCTGTGTTCTAATTCCAGTATTTTCTCCTGCAGGTATTTTAATGCTGTAAAACTTTAATACTGATACCCAGACCTAAACTACACATGATGACAGCAGGCACCTAACTTTTAATAAGCATCTGGTTCTGTATGCATTTTTGTATTCACTATGGGTTCGGCTTAGGGCTATTTTTCCACTGTGGGGTGGGATTTTTGCTGACTCCTCTTTCCTGCTGCAGAGCCCCACATAACTCCAGTACTGTTCCTCAGGGTCCCGTCAGCCTCAAGGGCAGCATTGCATTGGGTTCAATGGGTTTGGAGGGGCAGGTAAATTCCATTCCATGTTCAGAATGGTACTTTGAATGCAACTCGTTACTCAGGCTCTGCCCAACATAAGCAATAGTTAAGCTATTGCAAAGTTACTTATCTTTGGTGGGTAGCCTGTGATGATATGCAAGGGCATGTGGCAGGAACATCCTGGAATTCTTTTTGTGTGTAGATAGGGGTTGCTGCATCAATGAAATAAGTCTGGAGTAATAAGTTCTGAATCAGGATTGGCAAATAAGGCCTCAGTGCTCTGTGCATAGAAAGTCCCTAGAGAAGCAAAAATCCCACAGAAAAAACTAGGCTTTGGCCTCTTTTCATTAAGGCTGATTAAGTACTGTTGCGGAAGCAGTACAGTTCTCTCTTCCAATTGCAACACCTAAGATTTCATGTTTGGACGTGGGGAGGTTGCTTGCTTTTTAAAAAAAAATGTTCATGCATTACATTTCCATTCTAAATGGGTCAATATACTTTGCTAGGCTTCAAAAATGCTGGTACTCTCAGGTCAGTCACCACTCGGTCCAGGAGGAGACTTTATGGAAAGACTTCTGTGTGTCTCACATGAGACCCAAACATACTCATTTTGGGACTACTTTCAAAAAGTAAAGCCTAGCATGAAATTTGTGGTCATGTGAGAGATTTGTACCACATCAATGAATGCTTGTTAACAGCCCTCTGTTAGTTTATGTTGGGGAGGCATATAGTTAGTTTTGTCTTATTGGCTGCGAGACGGAATGGCAACAGGGTTTCAGTCAAGTCACACCGCAGACTGGGTTTAGGAAAGGCAGGGCAGAACCTCCCCTTGTAGTATTATGACCTACTTAGGGAGGTTTGGCCCCAGTTCTATAGCAGCGGTTTTAAAGTAAATTCTGTGACAATAACACTGTGTTTTCTTTAGTTTGTGCTTTTTCTTTGTTTACTTTTTCCCCTGTCCAGGTAAACCCACCATATTATGTGCCTCTGGTTGAACTGGTTCCCCACCCAGAAACAGACCCTTGTACACTGGAAAGAACTTATGCTCTGATGAAGAAGATTGGACAGTCCCCAGTTAAACTAACCAAAGAGATTGATGGCTTTGTTCTGAACCGGCTCCAGTATGCAATTATTAGTGAAGCATGGAGGCTTGCTGGTGTATGTATGGTTTTATTCTCCACTTTTTTGATATGTATTGTCCAATAGTGTGCAGCTTCATATAACCCATTATGGTTCTGCGTTACAAAGGGCCTAGTGACTGCATTAAAAATTGGGTGTGTATCCATCCACACATTTCCTTCAACAAAATGCTTTTGTGGAGGAGAGGGTGGAAATGTTCACCAACCCTCCCCCCCCCCGCACACACATGCTGCATACTCCCATTTTGCCCCCTATGCTGTTCCTGAGGGCCCACTAACCCCCTAGGAACAAAATTGGGTGTGGGGTTGTCAGTTGGCTGCAGCAGGAGAGGGAAGTAGGTAAGTCCTGTTCCACAAACTCCTTGAATAGTTGGATACATGCCATTGGCGTGTAACTTTACTAGAAGAAATGGCTGATGCTGTAGTAACTATTAGAAAGAAGAGAAGGAAGCTGAATTGTGCAAGCGGGTAATACGAGGAACCCTCCAGAACAATAACATTTTCATTCTAACCAGAGAGACAAGGTGAAAAGGTCAGCAAGTGAAATACTGATTTTCATGTTGCTTCTCTTCATTCCCTGTTGCCCTCTGAATGCTGCAGTCCCGCTTACAACGTTTGAACTCAGCGAAATGATGATGAAACCGATACTTTAAACAGAAGTCAGTTTAGCTTCCAAGAATCTCATCTCTCAGCCTTTGGGAATTATTTAAAACAAGGGTCTAAAGACAAGTTTCTACTCATCCTCCCCTTTTGGACTTTTATCTCATAATCCTCTGTTCTCTGGCACTAACTCTGACCTTCCAGCACCAAAAAAAGTTCCTGGTCTGTTGTCACTGTGTTGGATCCCCAAGCATCGAGACAAAGTTCCTGGTCTTTTGTCACTGTCAGAGGATTGAAGGAGGAAATCAATATTAGTTCTGAGCCCTTCCCGATTAAATTTGCAAGTCATGAAAAAATAGAATAATTAATTCTTTTATCTCCAAAGTGATTTTCATCCCAAGTGATTGTCTTCCCCACTTAGGCTAAATGAGGGCTTGAGCACCATGTTATAAACATCTTTTAAATAAATAAATGAGGTCAGTTTGGTGTTACCTTGTATGAAGTGATTTTCACAATAGTGGCATGTGTCCAACCACACAGTTTCAAAGACTTAAGTTCATTTAACATTTCAGATGTGGAGCTTTCCACTGACTTCCCCATAGTCTGCTTTGACGGCTATGTTCTGACTTCCTGCTGGTCCACAGAAACAAAGGCTGCCAAGTACCCGCTGCCCTCCATTGCCTGCCATTGTTTCAGTGAGCAGCGGGATAAAAATGGAGGAGGGGACGATGTTGCTGTCAGAAACACCTTGATACTTTAAGGAAGTGATCCAATCTCTATTGTATCGTGATGGTACCATAGAGATTTGGAGGATTCCTAGAGCATTGTGGGGGGGGAGTGACACTTTCCCCTCCCAGGCTGTATGTTTCCAACTGCTCCCGGAGAATGCATGTGCGGGCCTAGCAACTGTCAGGAACAAAATTTTATAGGGCACAGTGGGCTGAAGCAAGAGGGGGGAAATGAGAAAGTTCCTCTCCGCATGGTTCATTGATCACTGGAATACATGCCAGTAACTCTGTGTAGAGTAGCCTGATGTTTGTCCTGAGCTACCTCTTCTAGGCAGTTCGTCATTTTTCAGTAGAATTTCTACATGAAACCAGTCTTTCTGTGGCTTTATCTTTTAAAATATGAAACCAGTGCTTAACGGTGGCTAAATTTAAAACTTTGCTCATTTGCATATATTTTATACTTATATATGCAAAACAGCATCCTGACCTGGATAGCCCAGCTAGCCCGATCTCATCAAATCTCAGAAGCTAAGCGGGATCAGTGGATGGGAGACCACCAGTGATGTCCG